ATATTTGTATTTTATATAGTAGATAAAATTTCATGTCCGATGCTGTATCTATATAAATTGTATAAATAATTATATACTAGCACTTCTATACTACATAGTGATTCTATATACATGTAGTGATTTTTTAATATAAATAAAAAAAAAACTAGATTGTACTACGAATTACGAATTATATTGGATAGTGTAGTACAACTAAACTCAATTTAAATAAATCACATGATTTTTTTTATATATAAGAAACTTTACAAACTCTGTCGGACTTTATGATATATATATTTTAAGCGCATATGGGCATATTCAGTGATGGGACTACGGGAGTTAAAATATTAAAATATGGTGATACTTAATTGTCACATTTAATAATTTATTTAGAATCAAATTTTTTTAATAGATCACGGTATATGACATTTTAATTTTTAGTACACATTTTTTAGAATGTCTAATCTATTGAATCTAGTTTTAGGGTACGTTAATTTCACGTGTTATTATAGTCAAATGATATGTATCAAGTGCGTCAATTCGGTCAATTGGTTAGTATATAGTTGGGATGATTCAGAACCATTTATACCAATCAGAGTTTTGCAATGTTTATACGTGATCATCATCATTATCACCTTGACATTACTTTGACATCACAGAAGTATTTTACTGAACTGCAATGTATCAAAAGTCGTAATCTAGTTGATGTATTTATTTACTACAAGATCTTGTATATTATACTTTTCGTATTATTAATACAAAAATTTTAAATCAATTGATTCTGCAGTTTTGAAGTATTTCACCATAGATATAAATACGGGTGCAACTCCCCTTAACTCAGTCTATCTCCTTTCCCCTAAAAGATCCAATTTATAAAATCCGATATTTTCTTTACTTTCTTTGGCAGAAACTCCACGAACTACTTTCAGACTATATAAATATATTATATATATATTTCTTTCTCTTTTTTTTTCGTTTGAGACGAAACATCACGACTCTCGCGCTTTGAGACATATAATTTTAGCACAAAAAAAAAAAAAGAAAGAAACCTTGATACACGCAAAAAAAAAAAAAAAGGAAAGATAATGCCTGAAAGCGTCGCTACGAGTAATCAATATGGATACGAAAATCAACAACAAAGAACAACGGTTCCATTCCAAGCCTTTCCTACGGTCACGCAAGCCACTAATAGCTTAAATCAAATGCCACAAACAACCACTACTTATTCATTCGTTCCGACACCGTTAATTGGACAAGTATCACAACCTGCGACCGGAGTAAAACCAAAAAGACAGCAAGTAAAAAATGCATGTGGTAAGTTGAGCTTTCACGATTCTTTTCCACGTGATACAGATATAATGATGATCAGTAAAGGGATCATTTGTCTGTATCAGACAAAAAGCAAGAAGGGATTTATTTTGAATAAATAAATTATTATATGGAGATGTTTTGAATTCAAGCTGTCCCAGGAAGAAGTTCGTCTTTGCTCTAAACATATTTTTCACGTGTGAATCGGAAAATTATTTGAGTCCATGTGTTGTGAAAATCCGATTTTGGATTTTGACCAAATTCGATAATAAACAAACAAATATTCATTTCCCGAGATATCGGAATTTAGCGCGTTACACGGATAACAATTTTTTTATTTATTTTTATTTTTTTTTATCGAATAATTGTATAATAGTAAATTGTCAAAAAGCGTGCAAGAAATGTGACGATGGAAGACCATGCCAGAGATGTATTAAATATGAACTTACGGACACATGCAAGGACTCTATCAGAAAGGAGAGGAAAAAAGGTATCAAGAGGGGTCCTTACAAGCGTAAGCAACCAACAGGTAATTCAAATTTATTGAAAAAGTTAACATAAATATGTAATTAAATTATCAAATTTATTTATAATACAGAAGGAGGTGCGGCCAGTTCAAATATTGCTAACACAACTTCTTCAACTCCTGATGTTGTTCCTTCAACCGCTCCAATAATGCCTCCTGCCATTCCTAACGGTGGCGTTTCCATGCCTTTCAATCATCCAATACCGGTTAATTTACCATTGGCCGCATTGCAATTTCATTCTGCAGGAGCACCTATAAATGTTTCTACTCCAGAAGGTTTAGGACAATTTATAATGATTCCCGCAAATAATGGAGCCATGCCTTATTATCTTCTTGTTCCATCGTCTCATTATCCACATCAACAATCTTCTGCAGCAAATCAGAAACAGGAAACGTCCAATACTACCAATCAATCACAACAATCTATTACCAGTGATCAAAAGCAAGTACCTATTCCTTCATCAGGGTCACATTCGTCACAAGGTTTACAATCCTTGACTCAAAGTGAAAATAATTCAAAAGAAAGAGCTGAAGAATCCAAGTCAAATGAACATACGGATAAGAAGGCATCAGCATCAGTTTCTGCTAAATCAACGAATGAAAAGGAAGAAGAAGAAGATTCTAAAGATGGACAAGGATCAAATTTATCGGTACTTTCTCTCGTATGTAGTGAAATGTTGGATAAATCTCATGATCCATCTAAGCAAAAAGGAAAAAAATCCATGGAAAGGCAATCTACAATCGATAACGAACCACCAAATGATAAATCATCACCAAAAAGTTCAAATGGTAGTGTAACACCCAATATCGAAAAGGCTCATAGTGCTGTGATAAATGGAAATGGAGAACAAACTTTAGAGACAAAAGAGTCATCAAGTACTTCAAATGTTAAAGAAAGCAAAATCACTCGTGGTGAAAATAATGGTAACCGACAAGAATTAAAAAAAGGAATTTTTGTTTCATTGACTGAACAGTCTTCTACTGTAACACCTATGCAAACTGACGTAGAATCACAACCTCCGACATTTACAATTCCTCCGGCCTGTAGTCCATTAGTTTTTTCAATTCCAGCAAGTTCTTATCCAGTTGCACCAACTCAAGTTGTTCCAATTAAACGTGAGATGGCATTTAGTGGAGTTAACACCTCAACAGATTTTAAACGTGCTAGACATTCTTTAATTAACGATGCGACGCAAGGGCAATTTCAAATGGAACAATCATCATTTTCTCAACAGCAAGTACCTATGACACAACAGTATTATGTTCCCGGAGTTCAAAATGGACCAAATTATCTTCAGCCACCTCCGAATCAGCAACCTCGAAATCCGATCGAATCATATGAAGGTCAAGGAACGCTCTTTGCAGGAGCAAGATTTATAGATCCAAGGTTGCCGTCGCCAACTTCTTTCTCATACGTTTATAATCCTGCTATGGGTAACAATCATGTTCTTCAATCAGAAGTCGATGGTAAATCTTTTGGTTCTCAATCGCAAGAATAGGGTAATTTAGGTCTTGTTTAGGTTCTAAAACCTTTAGGTTACATTAAAAACTTAAGAACAAAGTTCTTGTATATTAAGTTCCAAACCTAAGTTAAACCTGGTTTGGTTCAAAACCATATATGACTAACAAGCTTTTTCGAACTTTGGGGAAATTGATCTTCAAAAAAGTCTGTATAATAAAATAATCATTGATGTTTATTTAATAGTTGGTTTCAACATCATTGTGAAGGAAAAAAAAATTTTTTTTTAATACTTGCTTGTAGAAATGAACATTAATTTGTGACTTATTTTTCATGCATATTTTCATTGTACGTATATTATTATTATAGTATGATGATATAATAATCATTTTGTTTTCTTGATTCAGCAAATGTCTTTTATATAGTGATATTCAATCAATATGTAATAGCAGAAATAGGTAATAATAATAGGGTGGAAATTTTTGATTGCTTATTAAAATGATTTAATACTTTTAAAAAAATATGGTTTTTTAAAATTTACATAAACATCTTAAGCGCTTTAACTTTTAAAATTGATCTCTCTAGCCGTCTAAAAATCGATTACGTACTTGTGCATATAAACTAATACCGATATCGATATCGATACATTGATATTTTGGTAAAAAACGAGCGACTTGTAGAAAAAAAATTTTTTTTAATACTATATTAATCTAGATTAACATTCGAATAACTTTGTAATATATAGTAACTTCTTTAAATTCTTTAAATGCACATTCTATAAATGCACGCTCAATACAATTCTCTTCAAATGCATAACTTGATCCTACTTATAAGGCCATATAACTTTCGTTCCTTATCCAATGCATGCTTTCATTTTATTTGATTATATTCCCGAAGGGGACACACTTAGAGAAGTGACTTATCGTTATAGAAAGATTTATTATTATTATTATTTTTTTGTGATGATTGAGGTTAAAAAAAATTGGCTGAAGATTATATTTTTAATATAAAATTTTTTTTAAAAAAGTATGAGTTTTATTAAGTTACATATATTCAAATGGAGATCCTAAATTTCAGCTTCAGCCAATTTTAAATTCAGTTACCATAATAATTTATTTTCTCACACGTTTTCAGTTTTGGTATTTACGAATTTTTCATGATAATCACTATCGCTATTATATTTTATATATATCTTTGACACAATGATATAGAAAAAATAATGTATTTGAAAATTATTTTCTAACGCTACTCAAGTAAAGGAAAATTGTTGTATATATAGAATAAAAAAGAAATTTAGAAACTAAATATACATGTGGTCGAATTAGGGAAGGAACTCTTAATAAAATCAATTCGACTTAAAAAGTGTGAACGATAAGTTGTGACTCATAGTGACCATCCTTAGTCGAATTATATATACGTATGAGCCGTAATGATAACGATAATAGTTTTTAAACAAGTCGAAATAATTTCGGTCACATGTATAGAAAATAAATTGTCAGAATTGTAATAATTTTGAGTTTTAAAAAACGTTACTAATTTTTGGGTTCGTATGATGATTAAGCGATTGTGGAGTGAATTTATTTTATTTTTTTCGTTCAAGAGAACTTACTTTCTTCAATCCGGTGACTTATTTATGTGACGTCATTCGAGCAATCTAGATGTTGATAATCAATAAAAAAATTTTTTATCAACGAAAAAAATAACTACGAATCGGCGCTTTTCAAAAACATGTCCAATATGTTTAGTAGAAAAATAACAGCAGCTATATTCACATTTACAACCAAGAGTTCAGTGATAGCATTATCAAGGTTACGACCTGTTACACCTACTACACGGTTAGCATCAGCTACACTTTTCAGAAATGGTTCTCCTGGAACTTGTTTTTTTATGGGTGACGTTCGTGGGTTCTCCGTTAGTTGCATTAGATCATTACCTAATGTATCAGGTAATGTTTTAATTTATCCCTAATTATTTTCTCGAGTAAAATTTTTGAGACACAGTTTTAAACCATAGTCAACTTTTATTTTTTTAGTTGATAAGGAATTATCAGTTAAACTAGCAGAAGAATTAAAATATGAAAAAGGAAATGAACCTGATTCATCTGAACCATCATTCATAAAAAGCTTTTTATCAGAGAATCCGTTTAAAGTATGATCAATTCTTTTTTTAAAAAAAAATAAAGTTCGGAATATATGATATAAAGTGGTAACTTTTTTTTTTTTTTTTTGAAAAAATTAGATTGAAGATAAATTAGGTGCTAATGAAGTTGCACTAACGAGAACATTTGGAAATGAAAAGTATATAGAATTTAAGTACCTTGATTATTTGTTAAACTTTTTAGAAAGTTTATATAATTATGATGTTACTATATAGGATCCGGTTACTTTTTGATATTAATACATCAGAACAACAAGCAGAACCGATTTCACTTGGTGGTGACGAAGAAGAGGACGATAATGAAATAGATGTAAGCATTTTTTATTTTTTTTTTAGTCTTGTTAAAATCTTATTAATATTATTGATTTCGTTGAAAAAAAAAAAAATCTTTAAAATTTTAAAACATGTCACGTGATTACTAAGGATTCATCTCAAGAAGAGGAGGAAGATGATGAAGATGATGGTTCAACTGAACAATCATTACCAGTCAGGTGTTCCATCACTATTGAAAAAGTATGTGTAAAAAAAAATATGATTTGATAATAATTAAAGTTTCATATTAATAATTTTTTCGTAATTAAGCCTGGTAAAGGTGCATTAGGATTCGAGTCAATAATTGCCGATGGTGTTTTCCTTATAAACTTTGTATCATATTATCAAGATGCCAAATTAGCTGGTGATTGGACAGCTGAGGCTGATTGGAAGAGAAGGGGTTATTATCCTGGCCCATCATTTGAAACTTTGGATAATGTTTGTGTTTAATTTTCATTATGATAGGTTGTTGTATATTTATGAATTTTATGTCATTGCTTGTTAATTCGTTGAGGTTTTATTTATTAATAGGATGTACAAGTTCTTTTCGAAAAGTATTTGGAAGAACGTGGTATAAATACATCCGTGGCTCTTTTCATTTCAAATTATGTTGAATATAAAGAGCAAAAAGAGTACATCAAATGGTTGGAAAACGTTAGGAAATTTGTCGATGTGCCATAGTCCTTCACATGAAATTTTATAATTGTTTCAATTATTCATTTAACAAACAATTATATTATTATTATTATTATTTGATAAGGTGTTTAATTGAATATTAGTATTAATATACATTTATACAATTATAAGAACCTTTAAATGATTATTATAATAAAATCAGAAAATTATTATATTATTGAAATAAATATTATACAACCATTTGTAATAATAACTGAATCCAGAATTTGTTTAATAAAAATATATATATATATCTGATATATATATTCAATAGATCAAAAATTTTTAAATTGTTTGGTTATTTCTTTTTCTGCTTCTTTTTTGTACGAATTGGGATATTATAAGGATCTATCCCATCTCTATAATGTTGCGTCCACGCAAGAATCCATCTAAATTATTAAGATTATATTAAGATTAGTAAAAAAAAAGTAAATAACAGGATTTAAACTAAATGAAAAAATGGTACCGTCGTTGTCTAGTAGGTAATTCCAAAACATTTTTCATTTCCTTCGAAGAAGCAGTGAATAAATGGTCCCAATCCTATTTCAGATAAAATTTACATGTAAGAGCCCGGAAAATGAAACAATTATATATAAAGGCCCAAAATGAAAATTATTACATATAAAGGCTCAAATTTTGAAAAAAAAATGTTCTTAACAGTTAAATTTATATACCGGTAAATGTAATTTTCTTTTGACAATTAAATGTATTACTTTTTAATCAGTGATTCATGTTTTACAACTAATCTTGGTATAGATTAGTAAAAAAGAAATTAGAATATAAAATGTATAAAGTAGTACATATATACATAACGCAAGCTATTAGGACCCTTAATCGTAAAATTTTTCAAAATTTGGGCCTTTATATGTAATTACTTTCACTTTAGGCCCTTATCTGTAATTATTTTCATTTCCCCTAAAATTTTTAGATAGGTTAATATGAAAGAACTTTGAAAAGGTAAAAAAGGCTTACCCGAAATTTATCAGCCAAAGAACCACAATCACGACCGATTTTTTCTAAAAATTCTTTGTGTGTGGTAATAGAACCTTTACGAAAGACGAAAGGAATGAAAAGAATTGAGAAAGGGGAATTTTAAAAATTGCATAATGAATTCTAAGAAACCAACCTCTAGGTGGTGGTATAGATTTTTGCTTATTTTGAGAGTAATGGCGAAATATTAATGTAGCAAACGCTACGTTGCTTATTGGAATTTCGGACGATAAAAGACGAAATGATGACCTATTCAGAAGAATTGAACGCAAGAAAGACATTGCTTTTTGAATTTAAATAAAATGCTGGTATACATATATTTTTATAACGATAATTGATAATCTGTATGATCATGTGATATGAGTGTAACGTTAAACCTAATGCTGTAATGCTAATGCTAACGCTAACGCAGTTAATTACCAATTTCCAAATTTGCATAAACGTAAAAGTCTAATTCATGTACATACACTTTCTTTTTTAACACGCTTGTTGAAACAATAATGTCAACTTCAACACTAGACACCTCAATAGAACATAATTCATCAGAAGTAAATGAGTCTACCATTTCTGTTATGGAATTTTTATCAAAGATTAAGAGTGATGAGGCGAGTGAAGAGGAGTTAGATCCCGAAGCTAAATCGGATTTGATAAAGTATTACTGTTGTTAGAATACTTTTTTAAAATTACGATATTTGAATGTTTGAAAATTCATTCCTACATTATTTCTTACGCTTTATTATAGAGAAATTGTTGAACTCCAAGGGGGTCTAAAAGGTTTGTATTTTTATTTACAACCGATATCTGTTCTCGATATAATAATAAAACTGATAACCTTTTAAAACTGATACATCAGTTTAAAAATTTTATAACTCTATCTAAAATTTTGTTTCTTTACACTAATTTTTAGCTTTAATTCAAAAAATGGAGTCAGTAAAAGATGATCATGATCAAATGCAATCAGGAAACCAGATCCTACAAACTTACATTAACAATCTAATGTCTTCCAATGTGTTGAATTCTGTGAATGGAGGAAAGAAAGATAATTAGATAATTGACTTTTATTAGAGATGCCAATTAGGGAATAATCGAGCATTTGATTTATTTGTTCGTGACCGATCATAAAAAAAAAATTGGGGGTTTTTTTTTTGAGTATGGTCGGTCGGTAGGTGATCGAACATTAAATAGTCACACGCCTCACACCATTCATCATTCGTATTATATTCGCTACACGTTTTTTGCTAATCTTAAAATTCTTCAATAATAATATTTGTCTTTATTATTTTTCTATGAATAATGGAAAAAACTTTTGTGAATGACAGAAAGATGGTGAGTGATAAAAAGATGGTTGATATAAGTGCTATTAACTAGAATCAGACTTGGAGATTTTTTTTAATATTCCAGTGATTCACCACTGAAGAAATATTTGATTGAAATGAATATAATGTTAATACTCATATAGTACATATAGTACATATAGTAATTAATAAATTAAAATAACTACATATATGACACTATAATAAAATCATATGTATATTTGTTATACTTTTTTAAATTATGAGTATTTTTTATTTGCAAGCAATTGTTTGAGATTTTAAATCATAAAAGTCTCACAATCATCAGATAATTCCAAATATTCAAGATCTCTAGTTAATTAAAATCTTAAAGTTCATGGTCCTGGTGATTTATATAAACACTAACTTCATAACAATATGATTCAATGATCTCTCGTTTATAACTACAATATTATTGAGAAGAGTATATAGCATCCAATTTACACCCCAAAAGTTCGTCATTCATATCACGCGACGTGACAATTTAGCATGTTATTTATATAGCTGTATGCATATACTAACGCTAATACTATCATTCACGGGACCTAAAATCCTCGATTTTTTTCGAACTAAAATATTGCATGAGCGTGCAGTTACTACATACGCTTCGGACAATATGTCGAAAATTTACTAAGAAAATCAGCTTTAGACATTAAATAAAGTTGTTCTTCATAATAAAATACATTTATCCTCTTATCCTAAAATTTCATTTTTTTTTAAAAAAAAAACGAAAAAGTGAACTAATAAAAATTCATTTAAATTTTATGTAGAACAAGTGTATTTAATTATTAAGAAAATTTTACTTAATGCATTAAATTTACTTAATAAAATTCGAAACATATATTTAGCAATTATTTGTGTCATGAGTATATAAGTATATATTTATATATTTTTTTTTTACTCTACGTATAATTTAAAAAATCAGGGCGGCCCCTCAAAGTGATGGATCCGCAGCCACAACATATAAATTCACTATTAACTATACAATAAATCACAGAAATTTCAAAGAGTATACTTTGCACGCTGCGGCCAGGGACGGAGTTTCCACACCGATTAATTTATACGTATATAGAATATGTGAATTTAAGGCAAATAGAATTACTTTATCTCGAAAAATAACACTTATGGGCGCACTTAGTCAAAATAGGTGCAGATAATTTTTAACTAATATATAAATGGTTTAAATTTCGGTTTAATCTATTTATAAATAGTTTAAACTAGTCTAACTTAGCTAATTGGCCAAAATTTAGCCTAGACGTTAGGGTTAGATCTGGCCAATTTTTATTTGGGCTGTCTCAATTAACAATCGGGACTAGATTGTTATTTGGGGTACGTACAACATATATATATTTAATACATAATAAATAAATTTTTTTTTTTATCTAAAAAGTTGACGTGTAATAAACAAATACGACGTGGTGTAATAATTATTAAATTAATATGTTCCCATAACTAAGTGCATAAAGATAGAAGTTTGGGTTAGAGCGTTAATATTAGAGGCTATAACAATAAATTGTTGCTTGATATATGTAAAATTTCTTTACCGATATTTTTAATTAGTGCACCAAGGTCGATTTAACCACTAGTTATCACTTTTTTCCTTTTTAGGGATTTTTATTGTATTACGAGTCAAAAGACCCATCGCTATAAAAAGTATAAAAAGTGCGATTGTATATAAAGGTATATAAAAAAAAAAGAAACAAAGTTTTATATGACGTATACTGTATAGGTGATTGTAGAGAATACTCTACTATGTAAGGGTTCTTGGCATCTAATATATATTGATATTTATGATTCTGTATTATTTAGAAAAAATCAATGATTATGATTAGAAAAGTGTCCAAAGCTCATCTAAGCTTTAAGAATTAATTTATTTAAAAACAATATGATTATATACTGTATATATATATTTTTTTAGTTTTGAACATTTTTTGAATTAGAGTTAAAAATGGATTATTTGGTTATTTTAATAAAATTCAAATTCACCCAATTTAATATTTAAATTATCCAAGATGTACTGATGCCAAAAATTTTTTTTTATCGTGCCAAGAATTCTAATGTAGAAATTGCTAAAATATAACTGTATTACGCGGTCAAACCACTCATCCCCTGTAGAATTTTCACAGCTTTATGTACTGAATGGTATAATATTAATATATTTTATAAAATCCATGCTAACATCGTATTAATAACAATAAATGTCAACCAAAATTAAAAATGCCAGATAAAAGCAAGTGAATATTCTAAATAGTGGGTGGGTGGTTTAGATCGCGAAATACGGTATAATCTTGCGAAATTTTAGATGGTCTTTAATCATGTTATGAAAAAAAAAAATCCATTGGATTAAATATTCTATTGTAAGCAATACGTATAAGTTTGTTTTTTTAAAATAGAAATTTCCGTTTCGCTGAAATTATGTCACACAATATGTCACATAATACAAACAGTAAATATCGGGTATTAGTCATACTATGTTAAATAAAATTAATGTCACTTCATTTTCTGCGTAGTAGCACATGAAATGACCTTATTTTTTATCGTATTGTATGACCCATATCTGACGCCACGGATATCAACGGAATTATTCGACATTATCAAGAACTATTTATTGTATTTATTGCTAATTAACAATCAGATGGATTAATCTCAATTGCATGAGCATCGGTTTCCCTCAGGTTCTCAGGTTAGAGTAGGTTAAGAAAAAGTTTCATTTCGTTGGTGAAACCTCTTCAAATAATGAATTGAAATTGGAATTAAAGGATGAAGAAACAAATTAGATACGTATCAAAGTAAATAGGTATTTTAGTACCAAAATGAAACTGTCACACATTTTATCTATTCCTTATTAAAATTAATATTTCATTTATTTTTATTTTTTGGTCCAATGAATGAAAAAATATATATATATTTAAATTAAAAGGGTTCATAACATTAATTTTTGTCTATAAAGCGCAGACATGTTTTTATTAACTCGCCAGTTTTTAGTAATAACATTAATTGTTTAGGTATTAAACAAACTGTTAATAACATGTTTTTGGAAATAAATTTGATACGGTGAATAAGTGTGATCGTTATGAACTTGTAAATCTACTGCGACCGGGTAAAATCCGATAACACAATTGAGGCAATGCGTTGTTACACTTTCTAACATAAAATTAAAGATAACCAATCATATCTACTTGTTTGTGTACTGTTTACTATAAATATGATCGTACGATTGCATACGTATAATCGGCCAAATAGATAATACATTTTACAGTTTATGGTAAACGTACTCCGAAAACAAAAAATTCTAACTTAAAGCAGGTCACAAATTCGTGTAATTGACGTCGAAAGTTGATTACAATAATATTCGCATTGTCCGCGTGTAACCAAATTTGCTGTATTTTATTTCGTTACATTATCTATCTAGAAAAGTTCTCTGTATTCATAATTCGTGAATTTCTGAACCAATTCTCAAGTTGTTTTTTATAATACCCAATGATAACTTATATGTGACACGAATTATTGTGCTAATTGAATAATTTAGCACATTAAGGTTGTCCTACGTTTTGAAACAGCTTTTATCAATGTCACGTGATAGATGTATATTCTCTTCGCGTCTTGTGCATTTATTTAATATGAATTCAATCTTAACTAGACTATTATAAATAATTACATATTTTTTTGTACATTTTAAAACTTAATCAACCAATAAAGATTTGTAATTTTGTCAGCAAGATTACAAAATTCCTTTGAATATTCAATTTAATTGTCGGAATTTGCGAATATACAGAGATAGCATACATCAAAAATGTTATAAATACCTGCATTAAACTAATATTCTAACCCATCCCTTTTTCCATCCCGCTTAAAACTTTTTTAAAAAAAAAGTTATAAACGTTCCTTTAAATACGCTTTCTCGCTATTAGATACTATAAAAAAAACTCTTCACTATCTTTTTAAACACGTCGACAAGTTTTGTCCTTATCGAAAATGAATCAAGTTGCAAGTATGGAAAGCAAACTTCCACGTGTTCCTAATTGCTGGTAAGTATTTACGAATAATATTTATATATTATATTATAAAGAACTTGACTGATAAATTGCTTTTTAAAAATAGCTTCTTTGTTCCTCTTCGAATTGGTGCATTGATTGTTTCAGTATGGATGTTAATCTGGTTTGCTTATACTGGAGTAGTAGTCTTACTTACTTCATTAGGCTGTATGTATTTCTTCATAGCTAACTTTAATAATCTAATAATCCTATACACTCTTCTAATTCTCTCTCTTTTTTTTTTTTCTTTTCAAAAATAGCCTCCATCGCTTACACCATCTTCTGGAAAGCTCTTGGTGCCTGTTACATTATATTAGCTGTGGGTGCATTTTATGGTGCTCATGCTATCTACTATCAGATTCCACATCGTGTAGCCACATTCGTCCGTGTATATCTCATCGCCTTCATCTTCTATATTGTGGCCAATATCGCTTTCCTCGTTGTTGTAGAGATCGCCACGTCTGCTGCCTTGGCTGATGCCAAAGCTCGATGTGAAAAAGCTTATCAAGATGCTGGTCAACCTATCGGTAACTGTGATGTCTATACTAACGGTGTTGGTTATAGCATTGTTGGTTGGATTATTCCATTCATTATCGGCACTTTGTGGCAAGTATGTATCCTCCCAATTAATCACATGATCTGTATATCTCATTCTACTAATAACTTTTACTAATAACTTTTACTAATAATTTTTACTGATAATTTTATTATTTCACTTAATAGCTCTACTTATATATCTGTATCCGATCTTACAGTTTGGAACTTAACGAAGAATCAGAGAAATCAATGCAACACAATGTCTCATAAATGTCACGTGAAATAAAAATTTAGTGTTAAAGAATTTTTTTCTCTTTTTGTTAAGGCCTTAGAGTAATAGCGAGTTAACACCTAAATAGAAGTCATATTCCATGTTACAACATGAATGAATTTAGATGATTTGGCTGTGCTTTTTCTCTTTTTCATTCTAAATTCTTCTTCTATTTAAATTCGTATAAAACTTCCTGATTTTCTTTAATTATATATATATTATTTTATTGTAGTACATATTAATACATAGTAATACATAGTTCGATACATAGTTCGATACGTACATATCTATGATTCTTAATAAAGAAATAAATAAAATTCTTTGAAATACGTAATGATTAATTAACGTATACGTACAGTACGTATAAAAGTTTAACTGTATTTATTAAGATGTGATTAAATGTCCCATACTATATAAAATTTTAAATCCATATCGATATCAGGATTATATCTATATTAATTACTTAACTAGTGTTTGAAATATAACAACTAAGTTGTAATTTCTTATGTTGGCATAATTTATATTTCCCGAATCGCAAAGAACAAAACTGTTGTATGATTTCTTATAAACACTTGAACTCTGAGATTTAACAACTACAAATTTTATATTTTTCAAATTTCAGTTAACCTTTATTGCAATTTTATTATTTGAAAATGGACAAAGGACTATATAAAAGAACGAATTACATGCATTTATAGCATCTATTAAAAGAACGAATTACATGCATTTATAGCATCTATTAAAAGCTAAATAACTATGCTATACGGATAAATTTAAAATAGTAAAATTACATATCCAAACCGCAAACTTTCCTACCATCGAAAGATATCTATTGCCCACCACGAAGACGAAGTACTAAATGAAGAGTGGATTCCTTTTGAATATTATAATCAGAAAGTGTACGACCGTCCTCTAATTGTTTGCCTGCAAAAATGAGACGTTGCTGATCCGGAGGAATTCCTTCTTTATCTTGGATTTTTTGTTTGACTTGATCAATAGTATCAGACGACTCGACTTCAAGTGTAATGGTTTTACCAGTAAGGGTTTTAACGAAGATCTGCATACCACCGCGAAGACGAAGAACAAGATGAAGAGTAGATTCTTTTTGAATATTATAATCTGAGAGCGTACGGCCATCTTCTAATTGTTTACCCGCAAAAATAAGACGTTGCTGGTCTGGTGGAATTCCTTCTTTATCTTGAATTTTTTGTTTTACTTGATCGATAGTATCAGATGATTCGACTTCAAGTGTAATGGTTTTACCGGTAAGAGTTTTAACAAAGATCTGCATACCACCGCGAAGACGGAGAACAAGGTGAAGAGTAGATTCCTTTTGAATGTTATAATCGGAGAGTGTACGACCGTCTTCCAATTGTTTACCAGCAAAAATAAGACGTTGCTGGTCTGGTGGAATCCCTTCCTTATCCTGAATTTTTTGCTTAACTTGATCGATGGTATCTGATGATTCTACCTCGAGGGTGATTGTTTTGCCAGTAAGAGTCTTCACGAAGATCTGCATACCGCCACGAAGACGTAATACCAAGTGTAAAGTCGACTCTTTTTGAATGTTATAGTCTGATAAAGTACGACCATCCTCTAATTGTTTGCCTGCAAAAATAAGACGTTGCTGATCTGGTGGAATTCCTTCCTTATCTTGAATCTTTTGTTTCACTTGGTCAATAGTGTCAGACGATTCTACTTCGAGAGTGATGGTTTTACCAGTAAGGGTTTTTACGAAAATTTGCATCCCACCACGGAGACGGAGCACCAAGTGAAGAGTAGATTCCTTTTGAATATTATAATCAGACAAAGTACGACCGTCTTCCAATTGTTTACCAGCGAAAATAAGACGTTGCTGGTCTGGTGGAATTCCTTCTTTGTCCTGAATTTTTTGCTTGACCTGGTCAATAGTATCAGACGACTCAACCTCGAGGGTGATGGTCTTACCGGTAAGAGTTTTTACAAAAATTTGCATGCCACCTCGAAGACGTAAAACGAGATGGAGTGTTGACTCCTTTTGAATATTATAATCAGACAAGGTACGACCGTCTTCCAATTGTTTACCAGCGAAGATGAGACGTTGCTGGTCTGGAGGGATTCCTTCCTTGTCTTGAATCTTTTGCTTAACCTGGTCGATGGTGTCAGATGACTCGACCTCAAGAGTAATGGTCTTACCGGTAAGAGTTTTAACGAAAATTTGCATATTGTTTGTTATGTAACGTTGAAAAATAGAAAGCTGGTTTGGATAGTAAATATATAAATTTTGAAATTTTTGAAAAAGGATTTGAAAAAGGAGGAGGTTTGCGGTCCCTTTTATAATGTATTGGAACAAATAACTATTATGTATTACTAATGATTATAATTAGAAGGTTCTAGAATGATTGACTCAGAAACATTAACTAAAAATGTGATTAATCTGAACATCTGATTAATGACTTTCTTTAAAGCATCTATCTATGCAAGGGCATGGAGAACTCCGATATTGTATCAGGCCAAACAACCAAATTTTGTTTCCGTTAGGCCGAGATCCCGTGTTTTATCCACCACGGTGACTCAGCAACTGCCACCTTTTACGGCAAAACTAAAGAATTTTATCATTGGAACTGTCAGTATCGTATTTGGTGTTACCTTTTTAGAATATTATTTTGATTCAAGGGCAGCTATTCATAAATATTTTGTCACACCCGTTCTGAGAAATGTGACTGATGCTGAAACAAGTCATAAATTTGCTATATGGGTGGCAAAGTGGGGGTTTTGTCCAAAAGATAGACTTGCGGACGACGAAAAATTAGCAGTTAGAGTAAGATATCCTACAAATTCCGGTCACTAAACAGTAAGAGATGGTGTGCTGATCGTCTGTTGTCGATTTATTAGGCATGGGGAAAAACGTTTTCTAATCCAATCGGCTTAGCTGCTGGATTCGATAAGCATGGAGAAGCCATCGATAGTCTTTTTGATCTTGGGTTTGGTTATGTAGAGATCGGAAGTGTCACCCCTGAACCTCAGGTAACACATCTTTAGTATTAGTCATAAATCAGGAAGGACACTCACATTTTTGAATGAATATTAATGATACAGTCCGGAAATCCTCAACCACGTATGTTTCGACTTCATGATGACAAAGCGGTAATAAATCGATATGGATTTAATTCAGTCGGCCACAAGATGGTAGAACTTCGACTCCGCGATCGTCTTCGACGTTATCTTTATAAGTCGGCAAAATTTCATCCTAGGATCACCGCCTCTCTTCTAGCATCTTCTCCAGATGGTGCCTCATTGTCTGATGCTTTAGGAATTAACAGAAGTTTAAAGGATGATAAACTATTAGGCATAAATTTAGGGAAAAATAAATCAAGTGATCCTGAGTCAATAAACGATTATGTTAAAGGGATAAAATTGTTAGGACCTTATGCTGATGTATTGGTTATTAATGTGAGCAGTCCAAATACACCGGGATTAAGAGGATTGCAAAGGAAAGATATCTTTGAGAAGCTATTGAATGAGGTAATAGTTCCTTTACATGGAAATTTCTTTGATGCTCCATTATTTTCTTTTACTTTTTAAATAATATTATTTTATAGGTTATAATTGCTCGTAATTCGTTGAGTGGTCCAAACCCGGCTCTTTTGGTTAAAATTGCACCAGACCTTTCTGATGATGAGTTAGATGATATTGCCGATGCCGCTATGAAAAGTGGTGTTGATGGTATAATTGTGTCTAATACTACAATTTCTAGACCGAACTCATTATATAGTGGTTGGTATAAATCGATAAGTTACAAATATAGCGTTCCCTAAGTAAGAGAATCGATTTAATTTTTGTTATGATTACCAATCATAGATTCATCATTGGTTTCTGAAACTGGCGGTCTTTCTGGACCTCCTCTTAAACCTTTAGCGCTTAAATCTTTACGAAGAATATATAAACGTACAAATGGTGAGCTAACTCTTATAGGTTGTGGTGGAATTTCTGATGCTAAAGATGCTCTAGAATATGCGCGCGCTGGGGCGACTTTAGTACAACTTTATACCAGCTTTGCATATGATGGTGTAGGCAAAGTAAGAGAGATTAAAGACGAAATTCTTAGCGAACTGAAGGATAAAAAATGGGTAGATGTTATTGGAGAACAATGGAAGAATTAAGTTTGCATTATTTTTTCATTTTTGGGGTTGATTTATTTAAACCATGAAAAAAAAAGATAATGGGATATATGACTGTCAATTTAAATTTTACTTGATTACAATCTATTATTATTCTGTATATACAGTAGGTTAATGTTCTATACTAAAATGTTTATTAAATTAGGATAAATTTTACTTTTCATTATTATTGCATAAATAACAAAATAGACTTTTATATTAAATTTTAATTGCAAAATATATTTGTTGGATTCAGTGTTTTGTATAAATAAGAAAGTGTATTTAATTAAAATTTACTAAATTCTTTTTGAAATTAATAAATGAATACATACTGTTTTATGTTTTTCAAAACCTTAACAACAAACTAAAATGTGTTTGAAAATTATTAGACTTTAGTTTGTTTTTGTTTTTTTTTTTTGTAAAAAAAAAAAAACCTATGTAAAATTTTGACAGTACCTTACTTAAAGATTTTTGAAAGCATTCTTTTTTCTTTTCTCTATACCAGAAGTATTATATAAAATGAACCCATTTGATCATAATATCTTAACTAATACAACTTGTTTTATAAGTCTTAATATAAATTCATAAATGAAAGTTATGCTTGCATCTGTGTCATATTTAATTAATAACAATTTATTAATATAAGATTAACACTAATATAAAAAAGGTAATTGCTAACAACTTATATATAATTAATTCAAGTACCAATATATGATTTTGGTCAAATACTTTTTTATATACATTTGTAATTGTTTCTTTCACTTTTTTAACAAGAACTTTAACATTTAACCATGAGACAGTTGTATTAAATCAATCTAATATTGCATAATAATTTAAAATAAAATCACAAAGATAAGGTAATTTCTATAAAATAATATATAAAATAATTATTAAAATACAAAGATAAAATTATAAATAACAGTTGGAGATTCATCTTTATATATATATATATTTTTTAACTTTGGCAGCCTTGCTGTTTACCTTTATTAAGTATTTAATATACATTTAGTATATACAATTATGTTTAAATTTTGGTTCAACATCCTCCGGCTACTTCAAGAGTACCCAGAGATGGTCTGTCGCACCAGTTGGGAAATTATCTAAATCTGAGGGTTATACCAAGCTAGCCTTTTAGACTATAAAAAAAAGGTCTTACATTATTATTAACAAAATTTCTAACTAACCTTAGGCATAACTCTTGTATTCTATTATTATCCTCTTCTTTTTTCTTCATTTTTCCTTTTTTCTGAACTAAAGTTTGCTTGTTTAATTTTACTGTTCTCAACTCTCTTAGTGTATTTGTTTCTGTGAATAGTTGTTTTCTGTATTTTCTCTTTCCTTTTGGATTGATTTCTAGTTTTTTTTCCTAAATAACAACTGCCTTATATTGTTTCTTCTATATATTTTCATAAAAACCATTTCATGCTGTATTTACTAATACATGCAAGCAATCTTTTGCCTCTGTCAATGTTTGTGTCAGTTCTTAAATCAGTTTTGTAGCTTTTTCATGAATCAATCTCTTGATTATTTTATATCTATTTTCTTTCTTTTTCTTTTCTGTTTTTCATTATATAATTTTTTTAAGTCTTTCTTTATCTAAGTTTTTTTGTGATTCTTTTGTTAGTGCTGACCACACCAAGTTGGTTGAGGTTTTTTCTATATTTTATCAACCTCTTTTATGATTGCTATATATTGCTAAATGCTCTTAGTCTTCCTCTTTTTCTTCATTGCACAGAATACAACATGGGCTTATATAAAGATCTGGATGTCGCTCTGTTAGTGTTTTTAACAGAGATAATTTTTCACTTAAACACTTGATCAATGTTCCAATTTGCTTATTTCTTTTCATACTTGTACATTTTACTTCACTTTGATTTTTAATTTTTTTCTATAATGGTAGCCAATTGTACTCTTCTGTCTCATTATTTGATTCTAGTTTCTTTATAACTGATAAAAATCTCCATTCTGCACCTATTTTAAGATCGAGAACATCCTTTAATAATTGTCTTATTGAACCTTCTACCACATTATCTTCTTAATATAATGAAACATTTTTATTTTGTAACATCTCTCTAACTATTCTATTTTTATTTTCTAAGCTACTACCTAATTTCGCTAAACTATTTGCTAAGTTATTTCATTTATCATCACTATTACCTTTGTTTTTAACTAATTCTAATTGTAACTTTTTGAGCTTTATAATCTTAATTATATTTCTTTTTACATCATAGTTCTTTTCTCTAAGTCATTGTTTGTTGGACTTAATTTTTAGTCTTCTATTTATTCCTGCTATTGCTGCTGCACTATCTATATATATTTTGACTTTACTATTTCTAGATGTAATTAAGAGAACTCCCCAAATTGTTAACAATTTTGGCTTGGTTTATGATGGCCAGTTTTGTATTCCAAAGTAACCTTCATCAATTTTTACTTTTTCATCCTTATCTACTTACACCCAACCAACATCTATTTTGTTGTCTCAAATTTCTTCTCTCAAACTAGATCTTTTGAAAGAGTCATCTGTATAAAAAGACAAATTTGTATAGTTTTTTACTTGGTTTTTGCATAATTTGCTATTCAGTTCTTTCTTTAATTCTTTGCTTATATTTTGCTTTTGGATTAGCTTTTCTTCTTATATAAGGTATACTATCTTTTCAATTTAACTTTTCTTTGTTATTGATTCCTCATATTTACAATTTTCTTTTATATTAATCATTTCTTTTTTGACCTCTAATTTCCAATTTTCAGCTCTTTTTTTTACTAGATTCGTCAAGGCTCCTGGCACCTCTGATTTATTATTCTATTTTTTGTATTTATTTAGCACTTTCTCTTCATTTATCTCGCAACCTTTGCATTTTTTAAGTATTGGTCTTTGGTCATTTTTCTTTTGCTCTATATTCCAATACTCTGTAAGAATCTTTTCATATTTATTTATGAATGTTCTTCCAATTACAAGATTTTCACTTTCTTTTTCTTTTGAACATTTTAGTATAACCCAGTCTTTTCTTCTTTTGTCTTCAGATAGTTTTGCCAAACTGATCTTTAAAGCATCTATATTTAGTGTTTGTATATTAAAAATTGGCTTTACTTTTCTTGTTTTGATATCTTCAATTATTTATTTTTCTATTATTTTAAACCATTTGATTACTTTTTTTTTACTTGAGCTACCTCTTAGAACTTTGAGTTGCAGTCATGTAATCATTTGATTGCCAGTTTTGTTGATCAACTGTTCTATATAAAAAATGTTTAGTTTTCTTAAAGCTGTTGCTGCTTGTACTGTGAACTTTTCTCTAAATACTTCTGCTATTTTTTGCCTATTTTGTTCACAAATATTATTTGAATTATTAAATCTAAATGTTATTTGCATGTCTTTTGCTTTTAGTATTATATGACATGCTAGATTGTTTTTCCAAAGCTTGTTATATATGCTTGATAAATTTTTATACTAATCATTTTTTAATGCTTCTATGTATGCTAATCTTTGGCTTATCTGAATTCTGGTTAGCATTTCCTCTAGGCCTAATGAGCCTAAACAGTTGTGTAAACTTGTAATTTGTTTCATCAATAATTGATTCCATAGTGAGTTGCAATTGTCTAAATTTCTGTATAAAATTATATTAGTTTCAATTGTTCTTGCTATCTCTAACTTATTTTTCGCTAATCTTAAGATTGGACTTTGTATATTGTCTATCATCTTTTTTGAAAGCTTGATTACTTGCAATATATAATTGAGCTTTGATATTATGCATATATTATTTATATATGCTATTTATGCAATGGTCATTTTCTTTCTTCTTAATCCTTCTACAGTTGATCGTACTAATTTCTTTGCTTTTGCTTTTATTATTGTTTCTTTTAGTCTATTGTTTAGCCAAATTCCAAGAAATCTTGTTATTTTATTTTTGTCTTCTGCATATATTCATTCATTACTAAGTTTAATTCTTCTGTTTTCTTAGTTTCTTTTGAGTTCATAATCAGTAATTTAGATTTTTTTTATTTATTTGTATATCATTAAATTTGAAGAACTCTTTTGCAATTTTGATTATTCGTTCTATTTGCTCTTTACTTTCTACTATACAGATTGTATCATCTGCGAATACTACTGTAGCTTGTCTTCATTTCATCTTTGTTGTATGATTAAGCTTTTGGTTATACAGTAACCTTACTAATGCTGTATATCTCAAACTAGTATCCTTTTATATATACTTTAATAGTAGATCATAAAATATTCTTCATACCAGAGGTGACAGAACCTTGTCTTTTTCGATTCTATCCTAGATTTGGAATGCCTCTGTGTGCCCCTAATGTGTAATAATCTTTGATTCTCTATTTGTAAACAAGTTTAGAATTAGGTTGATTGTTGTTTCTGATAGTTTAATTCTTTCTATTATCAGTTTTAATGTTGTAAGTAATACTAAATCAAATGCCTTTTTTATGCCTTGAAGCACCAACCAGAGCTCCTTATTGTTATCTTTTGCAACTTTCATTATCATGTTTATAATATGAACAGACTCTTCTGTTAAGTTTCCTAGTAGGCCTGCAAAGTTTGGGCCTTCCAAGATACTTTTCTTGCAGAAAACACTCATCAATCTTTTAATCAAAACTTTTGTCATGCATTTCTGAAAAGTTTCAAGTAATGCAATTGATCTTACATTGCTTAAATTGTACTGCCAATCTGTTTCTTTTGATATCAGATATATTTGAGAGACTTTCTACTTTGCTGGCACTTTTTCTGTTTTAATGCATATCTCTGCAAATGTTCTAAATAGTTCTTGAACTTTGGATCCTGCTGCTTGTATTAATGTATATGTAATTCTTAATATTCCTAGAGCTGTGTCTTTTTTTAGTTCTGCTAGCATTTCTATTTACTCTTCTTCTGAGATATTCTAATTCACTTCACTATATCAGTTAGCTTGAATTGATTTCTTTAACTTGTAGATTTCTTTCTAATTCTTTTCAAATATTTCATATTTAACTTGCCTAGATCTAAATTGATTCTGATA